GGGACTACGATCAGAACTACTAGGATCCGGAAACGATCAAATTTCAGTTTTAGAGATAACATTCAGATACGGAAACACAACTTCTCGTGACCTGAGAATCGCTTCTCAAGCAGAGGCTAAAGCACGGTTTGAAAGCTTCTGAAGATTCTCTGTAGACTTATTTGCAAAACTACGACTACCAATAAGGGATAAAGAAACATGGTGTTCAACGAATGTATATGCATATGGCAAGGTTTTGTTTTACACGGGCGAACGATCACCATATCACTTAAGAGAATCTGCAAATTTCTTGTTGCCACGCACGAGCCGTACCCTTCGTATCAGCCAAGATTGGAGACATACGTAAATGCGGCCGGTGAGTCAGCTTGTGGATGTTTGTATGCTCCGAAAGTTGTTTACGCAGTGGTGCTGTGTGAATTTTACATTTTTGATGCCAGCTGAACCAGCCAGATCTATTCTAGACACACAAATATGAGACTATAAATGTACGATGTTGATAGATTGAAGGAAATTCGCTGACTCGCAGTCGTATGAAATGGCTAGAAAACTTTCCAGGACGTTTTCTTGAGTTTCAGTTTTTTTTCCATCCATTTTAGGAGATATCTTACACAGCCACTCTTGGCTTATACTACACGAGGACCGACTAAGCATGATATCACTGCTACCCAGCCGTACATATGTGCCAACCGCAAGAAGCTACGGGAGATTGATACGCAGCCTGTATGCGATTTTCTTTCCCTGTGCGAAAACCAGAGTTGAGCCGGTTATGATAGCTGAAGACCCAATGTTTCTCAATATTATGAGTTATAAAAAGCCCAATATACTGAAAGCGGGTGTGCTGGAATTCCTTAAATCTTTATATGCGGAGAACGAAGTAGTCGTAACTATAACAAGCTTAGAGGATCTCAAGATTGAAGAATCTTGTAGCAGAATGTAGACAATTTCACATTTAGCACCTAGAGCACCCTTCTGGACGGGAGCACGGAATCGCACAAACATGGCCCACTCGTTTGAGAAAATAAATTCTGTACAGAAGGCAGCTAGGCGATTCGCCTAGCTGCCTTCTGTCCGCTAGGGCTCAACGTGATGTGCCCGAACTTGCTCTTTGGGCAAGATTTGGTTTCAGCTGAGATGCAAAACTATCTCCTAATGCTGCAAGTACCTAACTTATACCAGGATGAATTTTCCATGCGTAATGACGAGTGGGCACAACTATTGCGCGCTGATGTTGTAGATATTACAGTTCCGCATCTCCTCGTTTTTACGTTAATGTGTCCTACAATAAGACAGTATGCCAAGTTTGTGATTTGCTATCGAGGAAGAATGTATTGAAAGAACACATTAGCGCACTTGTACGTAGTCCGAAAATGCCATATATTGAAAGCGTACACGCGAGAAGAAAATAGTCAGGTGTGGTTAAAAATAGCATTGGGTGGTTCTTTACGATCTACAGCTTGTTGGGTAAGGACATCCTCAAAAAGATAGCGGCCATGACTGATGTATCTGTAAAATTCTGATTTCAGAGATTATGATCAGTGAGTCTTCTCCTCTTCAAATATATAACGTCTCAAGGCTTTCCCATGTTGCAGCACCCAGCGCACTGACGAGCGCGTTTACTTGGGTGCGCTTATCCAAGAGGATATCGACCGATTCTGTGAAGGTCAACAGAACCGTCCGCTCCATTATCAGTAATTGCTTAGCTGGACTCAGTATCTTATATATCAAGCGCTACCGGACAAGAGGGTCTGATAGTTACTAGCATTCCATTTCCATATCATGTATAACAATAACTTGCCTCTTTTAGTGGATAAGATGATAGATATACTTCCAAAGTTGCAAAAAGATAAGATATGACAGTAGCTCTCATCTCTTAAAAAATACCGATGTTGTATGCTAAGATGGAGACTTCAAAGCCGATCTGCCGGGGAAGAGGGGGCGGGGTGCTCCTAATCTCGAACATATGTCAAACAGGAGTGTCATATGTTGAACAGAGGTGTGTCCCACAAACATGCTTGTTTTTATAAGTAATTTTGCGTGGCCCTTACTGAAACTTTCCGATCCTCCGGACAAGAAGTCCATTAAACAACCTTTAGAGCAAGTGTGGTATTTCAGTATGTCAGTGTTGGAAATATGGACAATGCTGCTGGAGATTGATCTTTTTTTTTTGGGAGGGGGGGGGGCAGAAAATGATCTCCTTCAAGAGTGGGTGGATACTGTCGTGGAGATGTCTTGAGGCAATACTTATCAGGAGCATTGTTGGTAGGTGAAATGCGCAACGAGTAGTACCAGAATTCGCAAAAATGTGCACTGCTGAACATACACGCAAGCAAATCAACCTTCACATATACTCCTGAGAACCACGAATCTTTCGCCATTGTAGCGAGTGCAATAGTCGGGCGAGGAAGTCAGCCTTCAACATCCTATGTAATATGAATGTGAACACGAGGGGCCCAGAACCTCCTCACCCATTTTCAGCTGCAGTTGTTGGAAAGCCATTAACACTTTAAGAGCTGTCAATAAAACTAACTCATCAATGCCTGATGCCTCTAAGCTTATCTATGTGCAAATATCGACCATTTGAAACAGACAACGCTTAAGTCCTGAGCACTCCGGTCGCAGTATCTTCTTTTTCTTCCTAGAATCAGGTCAACCTTCTTTCAACATGGCATTTAACAGTGAGAACCCACGTCGTCAAATTGGCATCACAAAGAAAAGAATTGCTATTTGTGTGAGATGATCAAGCAAATCTTTGACAGCTATGACACTGATGAAAACCATCCTCATAAAAATGATAAGTTTTCAGACTTCCACGACTTAACCAATCAACGATCACAGCTACACAACGCTTGCGTGGAAATCCGAACCTCATTAATAATGCTGCTGAAGGAGGATTCTAATGAATATCTAAAGAAATAGATGATTACACCACTGCCATTCAAAAGGCTGTCGATCTACTGGACAAACTGATGATGTGCTCTCCTCCGACAACAAAGAACTTCCTCGCCGAAAGCTCTCTTTTGTCCGAATACTAAGTAGCATATACGGTACACAGCCATTCAGCCAAAGAAGTGTACAAAAGAATGCCATAGAATCTGCGATGAAGTTCATGGACGCATCAATTCTCAGCCTGGAATTTTCCAGCATTTGACGGTGACTTACTCGAATTTCTTGAGTCCATGGCTTGCTTTACAGCACATCGGATCTAAACGGGATCTTGCTGACGCAACGTTCTCTCTTTTAAAGTCCTGCTTCAAAGGACGAGCACTTCAATCGATCCACGGATTGGCACTAACGGCACAACTGCATCGCGTTGGACATGCTCAAATTTTGCTACGATAAAAGGTGACAATCAGCCATATCCATTACACTCAACTTGCAAATCTCTCCAGTGAGACGAAAACGGAAAAAACATCTACAGTCGCTTCACATCAAAATGTCTTCATTGACTTAACAATTCTGCTCCTACAAAACGATACAGAAAAGTAGCTCCGGGTGCGATTTTACTCAAGAAACTGCCTCGTTACACAGTATGGTATACGGCAGAGCGGGACGGTTCCACAGTTTTACTCCAACGCAATTACTTCAAATAACTATATATATATATTATTCATCAACTCAATATTCACACAATAATTACTGATTCTTTCACATAGAAGCAACCTTATATGAAATGGAATCTCAAAGAAAAAGTAACAAATATGAAGACAATCACTTTACAAGACAAACTGCAGAAAAGTTTGACCAATTTTAAACAGAGCAGCAACACCTGCAGCACTCAACGCAAGCAAAAATCATGCTCTTCCTTCAATTCGTACCAACAGACCGCTCTTTACTGCGATACATACTTTCTACTATTGTCGTGAACGCTATCCGATTTTTTCCTCCCCTCTCTCTTTTACAATCGTAAATTGTCTTTGATGGACGTAACAGCGTATTCCTCTCAAAAAGCATGCTGGCTTAAAAGGCTGTGGGGTGTTCCTTTGAGCACTATCGCTCTCTGCACAATGGTTTCATAAGGCATGCGCACATTAGAGCCGAAAGCTAGACATCAAGTTCATTAGGACACAGCATTCAAAATTTCTTTGGAAAAAGAGAATTTCAGACTCACTTTGCTTATTCTAACGCAACAGTTGCACATATCATGGCAAAGATCATACTTTGAAGAAAAAATGATTGTTTTTGCGACGGTAATGCGAAAAATGAACAGCAACAACTAATAACTTAGCATTATTAACATTATATCAGAAATTCGGAGGGCTTTGCTCTATCTTTGATAGAGGAATCCTAACCTCATACTATATCTACCGATTTCCGCCTTAGATTATTCATCTTATTTGGGTTAGATGCCAGTTTCATGTGCTGTATGTGCTTCTAGTTCGGCTTGCAAGTGTTTTGTTCACTTTGGCTGTGATTTTTGTCCGACGAACTACATGGTTAAAATGAATCTATCCATCTTTTCATGCTTCAACTTCGCAAATTCTGACCCATAATTTTTTATCTTTCCTTCATAATCGTAAATTGAAAACTGTCACTTAACCAAGTCTAGCAGCATAGGGTAAGAAAATTGCATGGAATATTCGATGGCATTCAAAATCTTCTCTTTCGCTACGGTGAGATTCTTAATGCCCCTTCTTGCTTTTTAAGAGCATAAATACAAAAAAAAAACAATCAAGCTATGTCTACCTGACACGATTACCATTAAGTACAACTTTGTGATGGCTCACAATAAAACTAATACCGTCAGCGGAAGAGCAGTGCAATGCAAATCAATCCTGCAATATTTGAAAGGGCAAATATGTTGTACGAAGCTTTATTTTACGTACACAGTCTCAAAGTTGTTGTAATTCCGTCATTTCAATTGTCTGCCTAACAAAACAAATGTATTGTTGCAAAAATTATTGCATTTGATTGGAACAACTTGACGCGAAGAACTGTGCACTGAATATGAGGTAGAGCATCTCTTTCATCATTCTGTAATTTCATAGCAAGTTTTGTACCGTTTAGTATAGTTCTGATCCAAGGAACATGCATGCGACTTCGACATCGTTGGTTATTTCGCGATAGCCACAACCCATATCAGTAACGCTCATCTGTAAGAAATAAAGTTTTACTAGCTCTAAGAGAAGGAAGGGAGCATGCAAAGCTTCCCAGTATTCACTAACAAGCTAATCTTCGAAAAAAAAATATTCAGAAAAAAGCCAATTACTGTGACGCTATGATTTAAAAGCCGGTTTGCCATAAAATAAGACAAGCGCAAGCGCATTATTGTTATCTATAAATGCAAAGCAAATCTTTCTTTGCATTTTTGCGTATCAGATGTGAATGACTTCTCATCTTGTCATCAGAGATAGAGTTATTGCACAACTGTAGTCACTATCCCTCGCTTTCTTGCAGCCCAACTTTTACCCAGTCGTGCAACTGCTTTGCTTTTATTTTGCAAAATGAAAAACGCTGACAAACACCTGACAAGGAAAGAATTTCGAATGACCATGGGATATGAATGCGCGTTGTCATATTTTCGGCATTCCGTCCGTAGAATTTAAGGAGACGCACCATCTTTGCAGAATTGTGTGTTGAACGCTTTCTCGCTCTGGTTCTTTGCAGGTAGATTGCTTGATTTTTGGCCAAAGAAAAAAAAATAAGCGTCCTTTCCCTAAGTCGCCTTCCCAGCAATCTGCGAGCGGAATGCAAGAAATTAGTCGTATGCTTTTTGATATACACCTTTCCCTGCGATTGTCTGAGAAGATGCTTTTTAAAAGAAAGTAGACGTGAATTGCATCGAACAAGCTTATCGCGACTTTATGGTACTTACTGGACTGAGTTGCACACGGTATTCAACCATAGAAAGTGGATGATAACGCCGATTAACTTACGTTTTCTATAAAATTGTACAAATCGTACAAAATTGTTAGCTGTCCTGGTTGTGTGGGAAAAGTCTTCACGTATGGCACCTGAAAATTACGGCAATAGTCAAAAGCCGTGAGTTACAACATACCAGTATTCTTTGATTTATCTCTCTACTGAAACTTTCAAGTTTACCACTATCACTATACTCCAAAGCGAGAAAACCTAGGCAGCAACTGTAATTCTGAAAAGAGCTAACTTTTGTGCATTATGATGCTTGAACTCAATCCTAAGCTAACAACCCACAAGATGAAGGTTTTCTTGTAAATACATGCTCATATCATAAGAAGTTCTGTACTCTTCCCACAAAAATTCGCAGTCATCAACGTATAAGTTATCACACATTCCCAAGAGAAGAAGCTGAAGTGATATAAATATTTTTCATTTGGAAACTTTTGAAAATCTTACAGGCACGTCTAGAAAAAATGAACCAGGTTTTGCTAGCATGTGACAACCACTAACTGCTCTGCAGTTTTATAGCATTTTCCAAAACAGATATAAGTGGCCTCTATGTTGCATGGATCATCTTTGTTTTCTTATTCATCGCTTAATGGATCAAAGCCTTGCTACTACAAGAGTGCAACTCACATTATAAAAAATGTTCTGACCTTAAACGAATTTCGTAATGTGCTACTTTGAATGGGATGAAGATTAAGTAATTGAAGTTGCAAACGGAATTGATGCAAAGAAAAAGGGCATTCGGTTTTATCTTTTGTATACGAACAGTGCATTTTGGTTTTCCAACTGCAGCCATCTGTGAGCCCCGTTCGGTAGTCTAATTTGAAGTTTATATCTTTATCCGAAACTGATTTTCAAATAAATTCATTAGGTACTTCTGTTGTTCGCAATGGGTCGTGTTTACTCTCACACTCGCTACCAACAACTAACCTATAAGTCACAATTTTATCTCAGACACGACCGCCCGGCGGCCAACTGATCCGTCGCTGACATTTCTGCGACGGCCGCCAGCCGGCCGTTAGTCTGTACGTGTCAGTGCAGGGAAGTGGCACTGTGCCACTGTATTTTTTCTCTAAATTCTAGCTTTTAGCACTGTAATCTTAATACAGGGTGGTCCAGATCTACATGAACAATTATAACACAATAGAAGAAACATTGACAGAAAAGAATGTCATATAATTCACGAAAATTACATTTGATTATAAAGTCAGCAACCTATGTATATATGGAAAGATCATTTGAACCAGCAGGTTCACAGATCGTCGGACAAGAGTTCTGAATGCGCCGGTGGGTAACAGAATGTCCTAGTTTTTGTACTTTCAAATGCCACACATAATAGGCTGACTTTGATATTCTGTAAATGAAGCAAACTATTGACAATTTCAATTTCAACATCAGAACCTACATTCTATGCATAGAGTTGCGATAACTCCGTTAACAAACACTATCAAGAACATAAGCATTCAAAATGGACGGTTAGAATAGATGATTGTAATCTCTAAAAAACAGTGCAGAGTTAGTTTCATGTGATACTCAAGAAGGACTTACATCTTTCGGAATGCGTCCAGCAACCGCGATTATCAGATTAGTAGGATGCGGTAGAATAGATAGCTTTCGAACCCGTAGATGCGTTGTCAACCTACTAGCAACAGGCAGATAAACGATATTCGGATAGATTTCCAGAATACTCAGCAAAGCAGGAATAGTCTAGAAATATACAAAAATATTATAGGAGCATCTATTAGGAGCCATATTCGATTACAATTAACAGCGAGACTGACAGCAGTCACACTGTGTTTCCATCAGAAAAGAAAGAGCGCAAACATCATGTATATCGCAGCTGTTTCCTGAAATACTTGCGAACATTTGGCTGTACTTCTCTAATTCGACCCAAAAAGGTAATGCGACACATAAATTTCACCTCACAGCAAATGGGCATCTAAATTCACTCATGATCTGCTTTCTCGCTAGGCATTTGAAAGAGAAGGGTAGTAAGAGGACAAGCTTCATAAAGTTTCTTCAAATCTGAAAAAGAGAGCGCAATCATAGAAAAAAATGAGCTACATCAACTTGCATACTCGGATCCCAAACTTCTAAGTGGCCCCAAAGAATTACTATTATCCTTTCAGACTTACGTAAACATAGCGCAACTGCAATGGAATACCATAATGATAATAAAAGAAGTAAGGACAATAATAATAAAGAAAAACAAGTAAAGACAAGCGTGCTAACGACCGCATCAATCACGAGATGTTTGAAATTAATTTCCTAATGTATGCGCAGCATGCGCTTGTCGTGTTCTTGCACAGTGGAACGCCGGCCGGATTAGGCCCCGCCCAAAATAATGGTTCGGCCGCCGGCGGGAAAGCCGTCGTCGCAAGGTCGACAGCGCAAGTGTCTGAGAGGGCTTTTATGGTTGGTGGGCCTAGGCCTACGGTGTTGACACTAATAGAACCGCTCATTGGCAAAGCTACCACGTGTATGCCTCACACTCATTATCCAATGGTTGCGAGAAACGTGTGTTCCCAAACCCCACGTGTTGTGGTAGTGAAAATGAGTCACTGCATCTCCGATTTTCCTCTATATACAGGGTGTCCCAAAAAAATGTTAACACTGTTTGATCGTTAATAACTCCCTTGCTTTCAAGTCTTTCTCCGAGCGTCAGGTACCATTTTGTAGAGCGAGGATAAATTTAGATTTGCTGTATCGGATGAATCATCTAGCTCTCCTCATTACTGTAGAATTACGGTAGGAAGTTTGACAAGGATTTTAGGCCATTGAAGCCCATTTTCTGCTTTAAAACAGAGCCAAACAAACCAAAATCTCTTGTACTATGGTAATGAAAGCCGCTGATTTCGGATATGAAATTTACATTTCATTATAATACTTCTTTTCAAAATTATCCTCGGTAAAGTGTAATAACTGACTTCCCAGCATGTGTCAAAAATGTGATTACGCCGTCAAAAAGCTGAAAACACTCGCAAAAAGTTGTGTAGTAAAATCAGCGTGCGCGGAAACCCTAGTACACACTTTTTCAGATTTTTTGAAAAAAATTTTGTCAGAGGGCATATTTCATGACGGTTCCACATGCTGGAATTTCCTACCGTAATTCTACAGTAACGAGAAGCGTTAGATGATTCGCTCTACACTGTAAATCTAAGTTGAACCTCGCTTTACAGAATGGTACCTAAGGCTCGGCGAAAGACTTGAAAGCAAGGGAGTTATTAACGATCAAACAGTGCTAACATTTTTTTGGGACACCCTGTATATGCTGAGGGCGCGGAACATACTTGGCTTTTCTTATGCACCATTGTGAGTTACATCCGTCAGGCGTAACGGCGGCTTTCCTTGAAGAAAGTGCTTTATCTTTCGGTTATGCACGTTGGTCTTCATTTCTTTAACAGGTTGTCCGTGATTTTGAGAAAGTGCTCCTTTTCTTTGTAGACTTTATTTTTGCTAATAAGTATTTTTTGTTCTTTCAAGACAGCAATATATCTGCTTTGGTTATATCACTGCAGAGGAGCACCCAAGTATCTTTACTGCCGCTCGACTTTCCCATCTTCCATATATTTTTGTGAATTAGTGAACCACGCGACCTTGTGTGTTGCATGCCGGGGAGCATGAGATTCGCGTTCTCATCTCAGTTCGTGCACCTAGGCAATGTGCTCCGTGGAATGATATCCACGAAAGTCCATAACGGAGGAAAATGGACAAACCCCATTTGATTCGTTCGCGGTAGAAAGTGGTCGGAATCTGTTTTCGCTAGCGTTATATAAAAATTTTCATCTCATCGCATCCAGGGGCAAAGCAGTGTGACGAAAAATGATTTAACCCTATTCAGGCAAATCACTGGAACTTCCGCAGGACAAGTCAAATTTGCACATGTTCCGCAGGGCTTTGTTCACTATTCCAAAAGTGAAAACGTTGAAAAACGGAATTTTCGCGGGGTTTTCATGCCAAATTGGTTGAAAACCGGAGCTTTCGCAGGACCTTTACCAAATCCTGCGGAAATTCCGAAAAACGCCAGAGGTTCCGCAGCCCTTTGGCCTGCCAAAACTTTCGCAGGACTTTGAGTTGTTTCTCTTATGCTCACCCACGAAAAAAGAGGCAGAAATAGAAACTGAAGGAAAAGATACAACTGGAGAAATGCACAGAATAACGAGTTGGTACTGCAAAGAAGGTAGTTGGCAAATTACATAGATAGATCATCAAACTGATTGATCCTTACTGTTCTCTTCACTGATATCTTCTTTAATTCCTAATTCAAATTCAGACACACTGCTTTTTGATTGGAAGCAGATGCGCGAAAGTTGACTTTGCCAAAAATACATTATTCACTCCGCTTGCTGATCGCCACTCGTTAGCAAAATAATTTTTGAAGGTAAAGAAGTAGAGAGGAAAAAGCGAGACCCCCTAAAATTTGAAAATAATGACAATTTACAAATGCTTTCACAAATACTGAATTCTCTCGAGATTGACAGTTTTGATCGAAAGTATTTGAAGAGGCAACTTTTAATGATGCTGTAAATGTTATCTATAAATATCGATTACTAAAACTTTTCAAAGATTTTTTTATTTTGCAATCATCTGAATTTTAATCTCAGATTTTCAGATTTTTTTGCGAAGAACCAATATTACCCCCGCCGTTACGTGAATGCGTCGATTGGTTAGTGAAAGTGTTATGCGATGTCCTTACTATGGATTTGTAATGAACTTTAGGTCAAAAACTCGGATGCCCACTTGGACAAGCAGAGAAAGACATGGCTATCAGCGAACCTCTGACGGAACTATAAATCACTTGCAAGAGTATTGCTCGCTGATGCTTGAATGAACCATACCATTACGATGTTGTGTGGATAAACAATCTGCAAGAATATCATCAGTGATATTTATATGATATTTACATGAAATCACCTTGGAAATTTCCGTCTTAATGCTTTTTTCACTCTTCCCCAGAATAGAAAATTTGACCTCTAGACTGGCTTTAGATCCAATATTTTTTCGTTACTCAGTTGAAATGTTGCAAAACTCAAAAATAGATGCACCAGTTTCGCAGTAGGCACGATATCCACTGTGAAAAGTGATATTTGGTTTCTCATTGAATATTTATTTTAATTACTGGATAAATTACTGAAGGAATTGCAACAGTTCTTCATACAAATGTAAATGAAGGATCAATTTTGAGGTATTCTCGCAAAGCCTAAACTTTCTTTATTCTTCGTTTGCTGATCCTGCAAGAGCGCTTACGAAATACGAGATGTAGTATGTGGTTGTAAATAGATTGCAGTGTCTGATTTAACTTATAACAACCATAAACGTTATATACATTGTACTGTATACTGTATATACTATGACACGAACTGAAGCTGTATGGATGCTTCTTCGAG